GTGCAGTTTGTGGTGTCACAAACCTCTTTGTGGCACCACAAACCACACACAGTGAATGTTAAAATGTGCCCTGCACCACAAATTTGCAGTGCAGGGCCAAAATTTGCCACTGGGGTTTCCTAGAGTGTAAAGCAGCACAGTGCCCAGACAACAAGCATGCGCTGGCACACACAGAGGCCAAGCCATCCAAAGCAACACTGTGGCTGCTGGTCAGGCTTCTGTGTTGCCTCACCTGTGCCCCTGCTGTGACCAGTTTGTCCATTGTGTGACAATCTGTCCCACAATGAAGTGCACATGCAGGGGCCTGCGCTGTGGCAATTTGTGCCGCTGCAAGCACACACCCCTGCATGTCTGGATGTGGCCCTGGGGTTCAAAAGTGGTTGTAATCTCAGTATAGTATCCTGTGCCACCAGGGTTCCACTCTATTATCCCCTTCCTGCACTACAGGGGAAGGAAGAAATGCAAGCTTAAGTATGGGATGGGTGCCAGACTTGTCTACTCAAGGAGATATAAGATGGTGGGCCAGTGACCATGAAGTTCAAATTTGGAAGGGCTGTACATCAGCAGCATTTAGTTAGCTACTAAAACTTTACATCTCAGGTATAAACATGCTAGGGCATTGACAAGCTTGGATCCACACTCTGGAATTACAGCCCATTTTACATTTCATCTGAACCCTTTAGTGTGGTGTGTTACTCATTTAATCCTATATTCACAATAAACCAAGTGTTATCTTATCACATGCTCTCAAAAAACTTTGAAGCTGAGCTGATAGAAATCTTTACGGCTGATTAAATAAGAATAATCTCTCATATCACTGCAGGATTCTTCTTCTCTAACTCGTCAGTCATGTGAAATGCTTAGGAGCCTAAGACAGTGAGAGCAGAAGATGCCAAGTGCTTAAGACGAATTTTCAGAATGCTTTTGGGAGCCTATTTCCATGTTGCATGCTTCACTTCAGGTCTCAAAAAATTGAAAACTGTGGCTTCCACATGAAAAGATTTCATAGATTTCATAGACATTAGGGTTGGAAGGGACCTCGCAAGATCATCCAGTCCAGCCCCCTGCCCAAGGGGCAGGAAGTCAGCTGCAGTCAGATCGCCCCAGCAAAATAAGCATCCAAGCATTTTTTAAAGGTATCCAGACTGGGTACTTGCACCACTTCTGGGGGGAGTCTATTTCCAACTCAGGAGACTCGGACGGTAAATAAGTTTTTCCTTATGTCCAGTCTAAAATGGTCTTCCTGCAGTTTGTGACCATTAGACCTTGTCTTGCCTTGGGGTGCCCTGGTGAACAAATGTTCTTCCAGTTCCTGATTCACACTCTTTATATGCTTATAGGTTGCCACCAAGTCACCCCTGAGCCTTCACTTCTCCAGGATGAAGAGTCTCATGGCTCTCAGCCTCTCTTCATAAGGCCTGTTCTCTTGACCTCTAATCATGGGCGACTGGTGCCACCTGAGTCAGAGGGGGCATGTGCCTCCCCCCCCCCACTGGCCAGTCAGCGACAAGGGTGGGGGGGTCCTCCCGTGGCCAATCTTGCTGATAGGGCGGGGATCCCCCCATGGCCAATTGCGATGACTGGAAAGCATGAGCGCCACTCCTGAAAGTGCCAGCAGTGCTTCAGCTGGCATCCCCACTCCCTGGCTGGTGCTTGCAGGGTGGGGCAGCAGCACTCGTGGCTGCTCCCTCTGCCTGGTGCCTAAGCAGGGAGCGCTGCCTGTCAGGGGACGCACGTGCATCCTCTATGCATTGCCACTGCCTCTAATCATGTGCGTGTCTCTCCTCTGGACTCTCTCAAGCTTCTCCACATCCTTTCTAAAGTGTGGAGCACAGAATTGGATACAGTACTCCAGCTGCAGCTTCACCAAGGCATAGTAAAGCAGGAGGATGACTTCTTGGGTCTTGCTTACACTTGTTATACATTAACTCTGGAAATTCTGAAAGCCAGCATGCCTTTTTAGGAGGCAGCAAAATCATTAATGCTGAAATTTGTTTGCTGTAAAGGTCTGTTAAAAGTAGATGCAAATAAGGATGTGATGAAACATGGCCACAAATGCTAATCATATATGTATCAGACTTTTAAACCTTGCTCTAAGCATAGAGATTTTTAGCAGCAAGTCAGAAAGAGAAACTCGTGTTCTAGCCATTCCAGTTTTTTGGACACCATAATACAAAAGACCCCTGTCTAAGCTATTGTGTAGCGCATGATAAGATCAATACTTGGGCACAGCCCTCAGCTCTTGTAATCTTATTCCAGTTACTTAGAACTAAGCATCTGTCCTATCTGTAAATCAGAAAATTTTCATTGAAATGAACCTGTGGCTAACAGACTGAGTCATCGGTTTGGTATCATTTCTGTGCATCCATTTCTGCTTTGTAAATTATATTTGGTTCCCAGTGGGACTTGGGATTTATTAGCTATTCAAGTTCTGCCCTCCCACTAACGCTTGGAATTGTGACCGAAACTCAGTAGATGATGCACAAATACAACAGAGGTCAGATAAGAGTCCATTCTGGACCTTTGTATTATATGGCGCTGTCTGCATGAACAGTCCTACAGATTTCAATGGACTGCTCAGTGAATAAGATACTAAACCAGTGGGGTCTAACCCTTTTTGGTAGGAGTGCCACAAAATAACCCTACATCCTCCCTGAGTGCCACTCCAATCCCCACTTCCTCAGCTTTCTGCTTCTTGCCCTGTGCTCCCTGCCTGATCTTCCATGTGTCACACACAAAGGCTGCCTGTGCCGCTTGTGGCACATGTGCCCTCAGGTTGACCACTTATCCTAGACCATGTGAGCAAGACTGATGGAATAAATTCTACCATATAGAAATATAGGACTTTTAAAAGTGATAGATAAATCAAATGTATTTTGGCTCAGTTCTTCTCAATCCCTGAACTCTTTGGCACAGAAGAATTGAGGGTCATGAAGGATTCAGTTTCATTTCCATGATTCTATGCTGCCTGACCCACACCAGTTGTACAATGTTCTACTCCACTATACCTTTGCCTTTGGTATTTCATCTCCCACACTGACACATTCCCTATGCTTAGGCATGGAGTCAGCTGTATACAATCTGGCTTTGCTGGCTACATGGCAGAGAGGTCGCCTCGTTCAACCAAGTAGCAAGAGCAGAAGTGGCAATCTGGCTCCCTGTCAGTAACTCCAGCATGCATGTAATTTTGCATGCAAGAATATCCCTTTTGAACTATATAGATCTCAGTCTTCCTTGTAATATTTTTAGGGCCTTGTATTGTAGAGATGTTCCTCAGAATATCCAGGCAGAAGCTGGGCAGGATGTTGCTACTGAGGCTCTGAGCACAGAGACATGACTGTGGCTAGCTGGTAACTTCCTCCCAAACAGATGTGTAGACAGATACTAGAGGAAGTGTACACTGCAGCTTTCTGCAGCAGATGTGAGGAGCACTGTGCAGAACTCCTCTTCATGGCAATCCACCTGAGTTTTGTCCTGCATGTATAGGACACAAACCTTCATTGTTCCTCCAAGCTTCCTGCTACTTGGCCACTGCACATGATACAGCATCTGACCTAAAAGTTGGGCCTCACTCTCCTCCTCACTGGATGCAGCTACATGTGCTATTAATTCACAGTAGAGCACATCCATGTGCTCCCTCTTGGAAGCAGATTTGCTCACAATGGCTGTGTCCAGATGAGTGCTGCCATTTGTTTCCCTGGGGATAAGTAGCAGTGGCACACCTTGGTATGCAGCAGGTTACCCCAGGTGGGGTAGGGGAGGCTGGGGCCAGCAACTCAGTTGGCTCCAGCAGCCTTACCTGGGATCCTGGGGGCCTTGGGAAACGGTAGCCATGGCACTCCTACAGCTGAGAGTCTGACTATCAGCCAGAGTGTGGCTCTGGTGTGTCCCCTCTCCACCCATGTTGCAAGGTAGCAGTGCAGGGAATGCTTGCATGTACAGTGTGTAGCACTGCAGACGCATCTGTGGCTCCACATACTGCATGTTTGCGCTCATCTGGATGTGTCCAATGGGAGCAGCCTGGTAAAGGGCTGCTTCTGCCCTGCTCTGCACCCCTTCAGCAACCAGGGGGAGCTCCAGACGCCCCTGGTACTAGCTCAGGGCCTGACAAAGGGCATGGGGCTGGTCTCAGGACCAGGAAAGCACGGCCGGCTGCAGCAGCAGCTGTCTCCTGGCCCTGTGCCCAGCAGGACACTTAGCTGCCAGCAAGCCTCCTGCCAGGCAGGGGGTTGCTGGGAGCTGTCCCGGATGTGAGGCGGCTGCCAGAGAGCCTCCTGCAAAGTGGGTGGGGATGCATGGGGCTTACCGGCAGCTGCCCTGCTTGGCACAGAGCTGGATAGCTCCAGGCAGCAGGTGGGGGCTGAGAATCCAGCCTTCATCTGTGCCTCGAAGCAGCACCGCATTGTGCGAAGCTGCTCCAGAGCTTCCATCTCAATGCCAGGAGCTGGGACAGAGGCCAGAGAGCTCCCCATTTCTGGCGCTGATTGGCTCCCAGCTTGTGGGGGAAGCTGGGGACCTGAGAAGCACCAGGACCGGCGCCAGAGAGCTCCCTGTTCCCTGTAGCCTCCTGCTGCCTAGGCTGACCGGGAGTAAATCTGCTCCCAGTTAGCACGTATATGAATATTACTGCACAGTATCTACTGCACAGTTAGTTTACTAGCTGTATTTACAGGCAGTAGCTAACTGTACAGTAGACTGATTTACTGCATAGTAAATATGCACACATGTAGGCAGTGACACTTTACTGTGCAGTAAAGCACATCGTGTTGACACACCCATTGTGGATTAACACTACAGTAGCTGCTGTGTGTTTGCCCATGTATGGCAAGACTATCATTTCAACTGAAGATTTTTATGCCTTTTGGGAAGGGCTAGGATCAGTATCAGATTTCCCAATCGCATAGGATAGTTGTAAATCTAAAGTTGAACTGTTTTCTTTAATTTGCAACACCTTGTACTCTATAGATGCTTACCAGTAAATTCATTTTTATTCCAGTGCCAACAATATGCCTAAGCAAGTTGAAGTGCGGATGCATGAGAGCCACCTGAGCCCAGTGGAACCAAGACCCAAACACTTACACATACGATTCTGTCAGTCTCTCCGAAAAAACCTTCTTCTGTCTCTTACAGTAGCTGGTAAGATATATCTCGTTTTATTTGCACACTAGGTATGCTTCTCCATTTGTCCAGTAGTTGAACAGTCTATATCTTTGTTCAGCTACAGAAAACTTGGTAGTCCCAGCTGAGCAGCCAAGAAGTGAATGGAACACCAGTATGCCAGGTCCCCTTACTTCAAGTGTGGAGCACATTATTTGCACAGTAGGGTGGAAACCTGCACTGTTGATCTTCATGTACTAACTAGCTTGTGGGTAAAATAAGAGTTAATTTCTTAGGTCAGGGAAATGGATTCCATTTGGCAGCTTTAAATACATTGAGCTTTCTTTTTCTTTTTGTTTCTTTAAAAGGCCAAATCCGAAAGCCTCCTTTACCTGAGACTTTCACATCTCAGCATACATCTTCTTTCTCTTATTTTTTCTGGAGAACTGAGCTTCTGCCTCTCTCTGGTTACAATGCCTGGGATCAATAATCTAGCTCTGAAAACTGCCTTCTGGTTTTAACAGCTTCCAAATATGGAACAGTTTGACATTTCTTTGTGGTTCGCTGGCCCTATGCCCAATACTTTTTTTCCACTCTAAGCCTAACAGCCAAATGCAGCAAATTCACAGACCTTTTCTGTATTGCTACAGCTTGATAGACCAGCTTTAAGATAAAGTACAGCTGGTTCTGATCTGCAAAATTTACCTCCATGTCAACATTATTAAATCTTCAACCCTCCTACAGTTGAGAGATTTGGACAAGGAGTTTTGGCTTGAACCATTCCTTAGAAGATGTCTGATGTACTTTCCCGAGACCATCACAAACAATTATAAAAATACGTTTATTCCCTATTGAATCGACTTTATACAAGGAAAGAACCATAATTTATTAAACAGTAGCACTGAAACACAATTCAGAGCTTCTTGTGATGTACAGTACTTTGCTGCTCAAGGCACTGCTCCTGGCAGGGAATAATCTAAAGGTTTTTTTCTGTTCTAATTTTATCTTTCTGTGAACTGGATACTAATAGCAATCTAGGCAGAGAAAGCAATGTTGTTATTCCTTTCACCGGTAAAAAATATTGAATGCAACTTCATCACAAGATCTTGCTTGTTTTCCAATAGGACCTTTTCCTCAGCTGCCTTCTCTGCCAGGACTTCTGTAAGATATTAGAGCTGTATGAGGATGATATGAATTAAACATGTCTCTCTCAGAGTGTAGTGAGACTTAGATACATTTTACAAAATACCAAGAGGGCACCAGGAAAGATACTGTGTAGGAGCAAAATATTGCACAGAATGTTTTAGGGTCAGTCACATTCTGAAACCATTTTTAATTCAAGGTTGTTCTTTTGGGTAATGAAAAAGTGATTCTGGTTTATTTCCCTTCCCCACTCCTTTCTTATTCTCCTCCCAGGTGTCATTTTGGGTGCACTGTGTGGGGGGCTTCTTCGCCTGGCAACTCCTATTGACCCTGACATTATCATGCTAATCGCCTTCCCAGGAGATATCCTTATGAGGATGCTAAAAATGCTGATCCTTCCCTTAATTATTTCCAGTTTAATCACAGGTGAGAACTATTAACGATAAGCAATTTAAGATGCTTGTTAAAGACACCACATGGTTCATTTTTCTAAGAAGCAAAAAAATAATAATGGTGTGATGGCAGTGAGTCTTTTGCAGATGGTGATAATGTATTTAGATTTCATACGGCAAGGACATCTCTGTTCTGACATAATTTATTATCATAGGCTGAGGTCCAAACAGGTTATGTCTAGACAAACATGGGCTGCTCTTCTGAATGTCACCATTTTACTTTTATACTGTTGCATCCACTGCCAAAGTAGGATTTGTCTGAATGACAGTACAGAGTTGGAAAGGATAGGTTGCTCTAAACTGTGGTGTCACACTTGAAATGCCCAACTGTTTAGGAATCAGTGCCAAAATGCTGATATGGTGCCATCTCTCTACATCTCTACAGGGTTTGTTTTTGCCTTAAAGAATATGATTCATATCTCTCAACAGCATCTGTGGGGTTGAATGTCATTTTTGACCAGTTCTCTTTATGTAGCTGGGGCTCTAAGCAGGTATTCGCACAGGAGAAAAAATGGAGGGTCTACAGGATACCCCCCCCCCCCCCCATGTATCCTATGGGAAATTCCTCTGGGAAGGAAAATATCACAAGAAAGTAACGTGGCAAGAGCCATAAGCAGATTCAACAGGATGTTTTGTGATAATTTAGTGAATGGTATAATATCTAGTCCTATTGGACTGTTTTGTTTTTTTTTGTTTTGTGTTCTTTTCTTGTCTTCTTTTTAAACATAGGACTGTCTGGTTTGGATGCTAAAGCTAGTGGCCGACTGGGCACGAGAGCCATGGTCTACTACATGTCCACTACTATCATTGCTGCTGTGCTGGGTGTCATTCTGGTTTTAGCCATTCACCCAGGGAATCCCAAACTCAAGAAGCAGCTGGGAGAAGGAAAGAAGAATGATGAAGTGTCCAGTTTGGATGCTTTCTTGGATCTTATTCGAAATCTGTTCCCTGAAAATCTAGTCCAAGCATGCTTCCAGCAGGTAAAAATATCTATTCTTTGCAACATTTTTTTTAAAGGTGAAGACCTTTTAACCTGGCAAGATACACATTCAGGTTTCTGTCTTTCACTTTGGGAATGGCAACAAATGAGTGATGAAGAAAATACAGGCCTTTGGTCTTTGGCAGTTAAGCAAAGAAGGAAAATAGTGTGCCACCTGTTTTAAAGGTACAGCTTTTTTTAAAAATTGATTTCAAATTTAAAACCTATCTGTTTCCTTGTCATTTTCTTAAGCTTTTAGGAACAGAATTTAATGCTGTTGAGATTTGCCTGTGGAGGGCTGGCTAGCTGATTGGTTTGGAAACCTCTTGCCTCTAGCCTGCCAGTTTGAATTTCAGTTTGGGTCAGGTTGTGGGTGACTGGATTGATATATGTCCAGTGCATTATGTAAAATGTGCTTGTGGTCTCAGGCTAGTTCCCAATGGACATGGGTCCACATCACAAAACCTACCACCATATACAATAAAAACTACTACCATATACAATGTATCTGCTCGCTGCTCAGGAAAATAGAGGACTGCTTGGACAATACAACCAAATGGTCAAATCACCACAGAGGTGATGCCACTTGGTCAGATCGGAGGTATATTTTAATGGCAAGTAGCTGGTAGAGAAGACCTACACTCTTGTTGCATTTCCCAGTTAAATGCTTTGGTATAATATCTTTTCACCTACACTAAATTAACATGATTTTTAAAGGGGTAAAAGAAATGTTTTCAAAGAACACAAACTTCCCAGTTTCTCTCTCAATACATTTTTTTTAAATGTGAGCAGCTTTTTCCTAAAGCTAAATTGTTTGGCAATCATGCTAACTATTTTTGTTGAACCAAACGAGATGTGTTGCCAAACCCATTCTTAAATGTTTTGAAATGGGTTCATTTGGCATTGTTTGGTATCTGGAGTTGTGGCTAGAGGCAAGAGAACTGAGCAGAGTAGGGGGTTGGGTGTGGCTTGGAAAGCTTGAAACTGTTAAAAGACTTGGATAATTTTGTTTCTTCCCTGGACTTTCACATAAAAACCCATAGTCTTTGGGGGTTTATAAAAAGAATGTTCCGAATACTTCCAAACCATCATGAGAACATCGTGTGGTCAGACCATGGCTGGCTGAACATCACAAATGCTTTAATTGAAAAATTGAAAGTGTTTTCATAAAGCAAGTGGGGTTTTATTTCTCTCCTTCTATCCTATTTTGTATCATGAAAGAGAGACTCAGTAGTACTTTAATCTGTAGCAGATTGCTTGAATATTCATAGGTAGGAGCAAAGAATGAGTTAGAAAGAGAGAACGAGAAAGGGAGAATCAGGCCACTAATATCTGTCAGGTCATTTGGCTGCCTCTCTCAATATGTGTAATACACATGTGGTAAATACAATGTAGTAAATGCAGTTCACCTCACTAGATGTGGCCTGTTCTTCCACTGACATTTTCTTAGCCTTACACTTTATGGATCCAATCCAAAGCCTATAGAAGTCAATGGGCAGACTCCATGAAAGTTCAGGGAGCTTTTCATGAAGGCCCAAATGAGCTTTAACTCTTCACACATTCAGTCTGGACAACCACAGCTTCTGCTACGAAAGCCACACTCCCATGACTAAGTCATACCCCTTTCCAAATGAAACACCCACTACTTCTTAGCCTCAGCTTCTCATATGCTGCTTGCTGAATTGGGTTAGAAATTTAATTTCTCTTTCCTCCTGATTACTAGGAAAGCTGGAATTCTTTCCTAGCCTCACCTGGTTTTGGTGGTGAGGAAGTATGACCTAGTTGTAAAGGTGCTAACTGGAAGACCTCCATCCCCTGCCTACCAATGACATCCTGTGGGATCTTGAGCAACTCGCTTGATCTCCCTCTGGGGGGCCCATGGAGAAAGAGTGCTTATTGCAGGTTCCACCACATCATTTTAAATCTGCACCTCTAATACCATTGACACCAACATTCATTGCTGTGATGGACACAAAAGGAATGAATGGCCTGGTTCAGGTGGTATCAATAGCTGCCTTTCTTTCCTGTGTTTGTCAGGGCTACATCTGTGGCCGTTTAAAACGTACAAGCAGTCTTGGGATAGTATGGTCTCTGGAGCTGAAGGGATTGTTTTGCAGAACTCTAGCCAAGTATTTTGGAACTATTTTGAAATATTAATGGCACAGTGTTGTGCTATCATGATCCAGAAGGGGGAGCTACAGTTCCCCTTTCTGTCTTGCAGATGGTAGGAAAGGTTGTGCCACAAACTCAGGTTGTCTGTTAAATTGGGTTTGTTTGAAGAGCTGAATGTGGATGAGCTTGGAGGAATGTGAGCCTCTTGAATAATTTGGGGGGTTTAAAAGATTGATTTGCAAGCCTCATTTTTCTGTAATGAAACTCACCCACACTTAGTCTGTCAATTTAAATCAATTAATTGTCCCTTCTAAATATCTGATATAGAATGACAACTGTAAGGGCCAGTCAAGCACCTTTACTTTCAAAGTGCTTGTCTGAACCTGAACTTTGATCTTGGCTCATCATCGCTAGAATTATGAGTCTTTATCCTCGGAAATGATGAGGTTCTCCAACTTTCATTCACTCCCCCAGGGGTTGTGAGTACTCAGAATGTCTATGGCTCTGCTCTGACACCACACATAGAAAGCACAGGATGATAAAATTCCCAAGATAAAAATAAAATCTGAAAAAAGTTAAAAGTAGGAGGAATGTGGGCCAGGGTCAGGACCACTGAAGAGATTCTCATGCATCGTCTGTGATGTTTTTCCCTTGGGTGTCTTTTTCCCCCCCTCTATATTTAGAGAATGTTTCTTTCTGAAACACCAAAAGTCTGTGAACCCATCACAGTAAAGCCATGATTTCCCACCCCCTCAACAATGTGCAGATCTAAGTGTAGGGGTGGCTCCGTATCCCACTTTTTGGGAGCAAAATCCAGGACACAACCCTGGTTAGTTCTTCCAGAACTCAGAACCAGTTGTAGTTCACACCATTTCCAGTTTGGGTGAATGTAGCCACCGTAATGTGGCACTGTGGACAGGCTAATTACTAGCACTGCTGGGATTATGCTGCTTCCCAGTCCACAAAGAAAGCTAATTAGTGGCCTGGATGCAGTCCTAGATGAACACAACTATGCCACTTCTGATTCAGGAGGTGGCCTGTGACCGTCTCTTTATCCAGAAGCAGTGCAGCCAAACTCTTGCAGCACAATGTAATGTTGCATCCTTTCACTTGGAACTAGTAAAAACTAGCCTATTTTTAGATGACAGAATAGAGGCTGTGTTTAAAAACAATGTTCCCTAAGGCTGTTTGGAATGTGCAATTAAAATGAGTTTTTATTATTGTTCCCTAGTTTTCCTGATGGATTAAATCCTGTTCTGATTCTGTTCTTATTCTGTTTTTTTTTCAATACTTTCAGATCCAAACAGTCACTAAGAAAGTACTGGTGCCACCACCGATTGAAGAACCCTCTAATGTCACTGACTCTGTCTTTGCTATGGTGAACGAGACAGTGAGTGAAACCACACCAGAAGAACAGTTGGTCATTATGAAGGGGCTTGAATTTAAGGATGGAATGAATGTCTTAGGTAGAGGAACTTTTCTTTATCATAATATATAATATACCCGCTCTTGGTTTTCAGTCACAGCCTGGAAGTAATTGGGAGTGAGGGCATTTTTGCTGCTCTTGAGTCAAAATTTGACCTAGCCAGGAGACAACCAGAAGTTGTTACCATCACCTGACTGCTTGTTGGACTCTGTGAGATGAGTCTTATGGTGGATATGTGCCCATACCACAGAAGCAAACACCAGAATTACCACTAGTTGACAACCTGTAGAAAAGCCAAGGACTGAACAAGAATCTGCTATTATTATTTATTTGATATACTATAGAAGTGCCCCAAATATTTTATCAATCCAGAAAGAGGAGGACTATCCAGGCCACCATTGGTTTCCATTGACTAAACAAATGTTTCCCCAGATTTACCTATTCCATGAAGACCTGAAGCTAACTGGGTTGGGTTTCTAGTGCTTTCCCTGGGCACATTGTGTTATATTATGACTTAAGTCCTGAGCAAGAGGTGGTGTGTAAACTGCACCACACATAAAAAAAATCCCCGAAAGACTTGACACATCTCTGAGTCACAGTTCCCTCCCGGTTTTGTCTTTGATGCTGACCTTTCCCAGAAGCATATGAGCCTTCCCTACTGTGCTCCCTTATCTGTATAGACCAGCAAGAGTATGTGGAAACAAGGGTTCCACTCACTACACACGCATCCCTGTGCACCTGCTCTGGGATGAAGGTCCGTGGGTGGGCATGCTGAACCTACTTACTTTTGTATACCCAGGCATACAGTCCTGTTATCCAATATAGGGCCTGAACTGAAAGTCCTTCTCTCTCAATTCAATTGCTTGTCATCCAAATAATCTATCCCTAAACTTGTACTATTCTAATGCACACCCTCACATTATCTTATACATTAGTCTGAGGCAGAATGTTCACAATGAAATGGTCATGCTACTACTTACTTATATATTAAAAACATTTAAAAGAAAATTTGGGCTCACTAGATTTGGTGCTAGAATGGGAAAAACTGTATCCTGCTGACAATATAATTAACAGCAAAAGGGACCGGAAGGCAAATTAATTACTGAAACAGAAGGAAATGAATCTACTGTTGTAATGGCCCACAGGCATTGCTAATGTGGTTTGGTCCATAATTGTAAAATATTGCAGAGCTTTTTCATATGAGAAATGACTCTGTGTGTGTGTGTGCGCGCGCGCACGCGCGCGTGTGTGTTGGGGGGAATTGACCTCTAAATTGTAAAACCAGGGCAAACACAAACAAAATTGAGTGCTATGAGTAATGCAGCCACTAGTTTGGAATTAACAGAACAAAGCCATGAACTAATGTTTTCTAACGCACAGTTTGGATTCCAGGAAGTTACTTGGTCTATAACTATTCAAATTTTTCCATAATATATTCTTCCATATTGTACACCACACACACACACACACACACACACACACACACACACACACACTGCATCTACATGTGCACTTTACTGCGGAGTTGACTAATTAGCTCCACAATAAAGTGTCACTGCCTACAAGAGCACCAGTATTAGAGCTCAGTATATTAACTAACTCCACTGTAAGATAGTACCATGGGGGACAGTAGTATCTAACAGCAGAGTCATTTGCTGCGCTGCAACACATGTGTGATTGGTGACTGGGACAGCACTATGGTCCCAGCCAGCCCCTCTGCCACCTGATGCCACCACCTAGCGCCAGAGACTGACCTCTCAAGCCTGCTGCCAGCCCAGGGCTGCTCCACCTGCAGCTCAAAATGCTGCTGCCCCATGTGTGCGTGTAGATGCTGTGCCTAGGAGCAGTGTACTCTGGCACAAGCTGCTCTGGAGTTTATCATGTTGCATTAATTGCACGTGTAGATGCACTCCCCCACATACACACTTTGATTCCCTTCTGTGCAACTGTGGCACAACTCAGTAAAACATCTCTCACCATCCTACTGAGTAGATTAATGGTCAAGCTCATTTTTCTTCTTAAGTACAATGAAAGAATTTTGGACAGCCAGTCATTTCACTGTGCATTAGAATCTGAAATCCTCCTTCACTGATTTTATTTCCAGATCAGAATTACTTGTGTTTTTGATATGGGGAAGTTCCCGGCTGAGTTAACACACTTTCAAAATGCTGAACTCATATTTGCTCTCATAGTTCAATCTCCTGAGGACTGAAAAGCAACAGAATTTCCTATTAGTGTCAATATATAATCCTAAATATGGCTTTTCTGACTCTTGGCCCTGAAAACTGCTGGGTAGAAAAGCTAAGTGCTGAAGAGCAATACCCCCCAAATTATATTAGAGAGAGAGTTGGGGGGGGGGGGGGGGAAGAAGAGAGAGAGAGAGAGAGAGAGAGAGAGAGAGAGAGAGAAAATGACAGACAGAGAGAGAAATATATATAATATAAACTTTAGGGCATTGCTCATCAGCACTTAGCTTTGCTATCCAGCAATTTTCAGGGACCAAGAGGCAAAGAGGAGTATTTAGGATTATATATTGACACTAATAGGAAATTCTGTAGCTCTTCAGTCCTCAGGAGATTGAACTATGAGAGGTAATACGAGTTCAGCATTTTGAAAGTGTGTGAACTCAGCTGGGAACTATATATATATAAATAGCCCCTAGCATCCTCATTCACTAAGTTGATTCTCATCTTTCTTTTTTTTTCTTCTTTTTTTAATACTTCAAGAATGTCCTCCATTCATTTAAAATAATTATAGGGTTTTTTCATTTTAAGGCCTTATCCTACTGCATAGTTTCTCAACCTGTGGTACGCGTACCCCTGGGGGTATGCGAGATACAGGCAGAGGGTACGTGGGTACCCCAACGCCCTCGCTCTTTCACCCTCTTTTCCTCTCTCTTTCACCCCTTCCTCCTCTCAAAACTATAGCAAAAAATTTGGTGCACCATGCATTGCGCAGTACTTTAAATTGCCCAGTAATAATTTGGCATGCCACACAAAGCCCTCCTAGCTTTGACCAACATCACCTCTAGCCCAGGTACATACTTGAGTTGTACACCCTTGGTATAAAATGTGGCAACCCTACCCACACCAGATAAGACATCTCTCCTATCACAGCCTTATATACACAGCCCTTCTTCTAACATATGGCACAGATTAGTCTGTAAATATGCAATCCCCTGGAAAATTGAGTGTTGGGGTACTTATTAAAATTTTCAGAATTTAGGGGGTACTTGCTACTTAAAAGGATTAGAAACACTGTACCTACTGCATTTAGCAGGAAAACATTCATTGTTAGTCTCTCTATTTTTA